CATAGTCTCATCACCATAATAACCAAATCTACAATCCATTTAAAATGAATAGTCAAAAGATATGTCGAATGTAAACCATCTCAATGTTATATATTTGAATATATCTAACAAGTTACACAAGATTCTACAAATGAATCTACATCTCAATACTCTTTCACTAATATTGTTCCTTCAATTTAACAAAAGCAGTCCAAATTCCTCCATGCCTTGTCCATAGACTATTATGAAATTCCTAGAGTAGTTTTTGTTGATCTTTTTTGGTACCTACTACTCATTGTAGCATCTGAATATTTGATTTTGGCCTCTTCTATAGAAATCCTTCTTATAATATAAATCTATATATTTTTTTTCTTGATTTATTTAAATTTTTCAACTAATCAATTAAAATACTTGATTAATATATTCAAATAGTATTCAATATCCAATAACTCTTCTTTATAATTTTTTTCATGAAATGGCTTATCTTCTTTGTTCGATTGTGCAATTGAATAAAATTTTGTAACCACATCATCAATATTCTCAATCATTTCATCTTTCCTATCATATATTGCTTGAGATTAGATATTTGCTACCAGATTGTCTTTTCTTACAACATGCCAAAATTCCAGATTTAATGACTTGATATAAACAATTCATCCCAACATTGCAATATTTGGTATTGTATGATTAGTAATCATTCCAAGTAAAGACAAACAATTCGTTTCAATTACCACCATTGCCCCAATCAAATAATATTTTTCAACTTTTATAACTAAAACAACTCTCTATAGTTTTCATTTTACTTGTGAATATACACATTGGCGAGTACTTAAAACCTTAGCTCCAAATTGCATTACAAATTTATATCCATTCGAATCATCTTGACCTACAGTCCATCCAATGGCAATCAAATTAGTATCTACTATAAGAATCACTGGTTTATTGTACTTATAATCAATTTTTTTTCAACATTGGAGGTGATGTCAATAATTTCTTCAATCTTTGCATTGCTTTAATATTATTTCTTTCTTATTTAAATCAATAGCCTTTACGTAAGAGTTCATACAATAGATCCACTATGTGAACATAATAAGAAATTCAAATACAATAAAATACACTTGTACCTTAAAACCTATAAATCTCTTTTAAAGAATTGTAATCCTCTTTTATTCTTCCAATTGTATCAATCTTGGTTGGATCTGATTTTCTTCCATAAAATCCATATAAATATCCAACAATTACAACTTCTTGTATTCCAAATGAAGATTTTGCATCTAATAATATATGATGAACTTCCTCAAGCCAAGTAACTATTTTTTTTATAATCTTGTATATGATTAGCAACATATTTGCAACATCCCATTTTATCTAAAGTTTCATCCTTGTCTTCTTCTTTACACCTCTTAATAAGAACATCATCTAGAAAAGGCACAATTTTCTCTGGAATAAAATCCATCAATACCTTGTTCATCCCATTCATCATATACACAACTAACTTAATTGCATCTTGAGGAAGATTACACATTCTAACTAGCCTAAGTGGTGTTTTTATTATTTTCATATCTCTACTCTCTTTTACAAGTTGAAATTGGTCGAAGCTCAAATATAAATCACATATTGAATAGATTGTCTTTCCTACAAATGCTTTAGCAAATTCATCCACTATTGATCCAATTCTTACATTCTTGATAGTTACCGGATTCATTGCTTGCACATCTTAAATAAATCATAATGATCAATTTTTTTTAGATACTATAAACCATTGACTAGAATATGGTGCAAAAGAGGGCTCCAAAATCTTCATCTTCATCTTCTCTTTCAATAATTCTACCAAGTTTGATAAATGTGCCTTTGGTACTTAAATTGGCCTTAAATTCCAAGGTACATGTGGTACAATGAAAATAACCATAGGTATTACAATATTTGGATCCACACATCCAATTTTATGAGATACAAAGGCAAATAATTTTTTGTGCTATTTACTAGATTTTTTATTTTTTATTTTATTCTAAGATTTTGAAAGAAGTTAGATCTTATTATTAGATTCATGCAAGCTTTTAGAAAAAGAGTCGTTGGAGTTTTTGGGCACAAATTTCAAGACTTATTCAAGATTTTTTATGTTTTTTATTATATATTTTTTTATTTTTTACTGAGATTTAAAATAAAATTAGATCTTGTTGTTAATTTTACAATTATAATTAGCACACAAAAAATAGAGCTAAGTCAAGGGAGATCTAAGTTAATTTGTGGACAAGGTTTTTCAAGGCAATGGCTGCAATAAGCAGCCAACTTTTTTTTCCTTAATTTGACTCTCATTTTTTCAAAATTTTGTTTTTTGACTTTGGCAATTGGAAGTTTATAGCTTGAATTAAACTCAATGAGTTAAACTTTGCTTAGATTGGATTATTAATAAGTAAATTATAAATATTTTAATAAGAAAAGATTTGAATTTGATATTAGAGTTAGGAATTGGATGCATCTTGGGACAAAAAAAAAATTAATCTAAAATTTACACTTAATATTTGTACTTTTTTATATTTAAATTTATTTAGATAACATTGTGCTTCTTTCAATCCACTTGCAATTCAAGGCCCCGTATTCTCTTAAGGAAGCTTGTCTTTTTAATAATATAGTTTTAAGAAGCTTTGTGTGCCTTACCTTGTCCACCCTAGATATGGCAGGTTTAGAGGCTAACATGACCTCACTAAGTTAGTCACTATTGATTCCATTGTAATTACCTTCTTTCATGTCCAATACTATGCAATTGTCTTTGGTGGCAACAACTTCTTTCCAACAACCATTTCTTAGTCAAAGCAATTTTCTTTTGTCTACAACAAATTTCTTGAAATGTAAGGAGCCCTTGTTTTTTGTTTCGCCTTTGGCTCCACAAGCCAATCCAAATTTTAACAATTGTACTTAGAACACCAAGCATCTAAGAACATCAGCTTATAAAATTGCCATCTTCTACCTCTACCTCTATCATAAGCTTTGTTCCAAAAACATTAATCCAAAGTCACCTTGGAATATTTGTCTAAGCAAACTTTTAGTACTACAAATTCGGCTACATAAGTATCAGCCACCTTAACAATCTTGTTCGACTTGGCACTACCTTTTGCCCTATTTTTCAACATATTCCACCTCACACATATTTCACATGCCTTCATAGCAAATAATGTACAAAAGAGTTTCTTAAATTGGCATCTTTCTGTGCTTCTCATCCACTTGAATTTATTCACTTCAATCTAAGTGGAAGAATCATTTTTCTTACATTTTTTGGATTTGAATATTATATCATTTTCATAGATGATTTCTCTCGCTACATAGTTCTTCATGTTCTTTAAAGAAAAAGTGAATGCTTCATTATGTTTAATATATATCATACTTGGATTGAAACCTAAACTAAGCACAAGTTTAAAATCTTTTCTTTTGATCAAGGTAGTCAATACCTTTCTTTAGATCTTAATCATTGTCTTGCCACTTATGAAATTCAATGCCAAATTACCATTGCATATACGTCCCAATAAAATGGTGTTGTAAGGCATAAGAATTATATTTTGTTTAACTTGATCCAATGTATGCTTCATGAGATGTGCTTCACAAAGTTTCATTAGGGTGAAGTAGTAATATATGCCACATATCTTCAAAATAGGTATCCTACCAAAGCTATTTGATCTCATATGATTCAATTTGAACTTTGGCACAAGCAAAAACTAGATTTATTCCAAGTTAGTATCTTTAGTAGTTAGGCTTTTGCAAAAATTTTCAATGCCACTCAAGTCAAGCTTGATACTTGATTTGTTGAATGTATCCTTATTGATCATAGTACTCTCAACAAGGGATATAAGTTTCATCTTCAAAAAATTCTCTCTCCTAATATGATTTTTAATGAAGACCATTCTTCTCGTCTTCTTTCTAAAGAATCACTTCTAAGTTTCAATACAAATTTCCAGATGGAGCCTATGTTCAATCCCACTTTTGTGTCTCCTTCCACGATGCATTGCACTGCCAAAGATCCCTTGCAAGACTCTGCTGCAAAAGATCCTTTGCATAATTCTGCTATTACAAATTCTGTTCATGTTTCTGCCATGGACAAACCAGTCTTTGTCACAAAAGATCCGCTTATGTCTGTGTCACGTCCATTCTTTCACGGCCAGATCCACCACTTACTATCTCGGAATTGAATCTACTACTTTCTAGTCCAACAACAATTGTCACCATGTCGCGTACTGCCACTCCAGTCTCTCTTGTTGCCTTGATGAGCCTAATTCCGCCTTACAATACTTTGCCAACTTCGCTTCTTTTGAGCCCCTCTTTGTAGATTTTTTATGCCCATTTTGGCTTGGAGGTGATGCCTCACTTTGGCCAATATGTGCATTAGCATACGCTCTTACATGCTTTGGTTGAAAGTCAAGGATTTCCTTTATCAATCAATGAGTCTCTTTTGATTCTGTTGTAATAGTCCATGTGCCATAATTGTGGAGTACCCCTGCCTCGGGACATGGAAGAAAATTATGATTCTTTTCTTCTATAGCCTTACCTTGCTTGTCCTAAAACAATAAAATCATGACACTCACTTCTTGCTCATTTACCACAAGTCCTTCTTAAATCCCAGACATATCAATAAGCTTTGAAGTCTTTTGAATCCACTCAATGGCAACAAACAATTTTTAATGAACTAAATTCTCACATCATCAATGGCATATGGAATTTTTTGGAACTTCCCTTCGATCGACGCCTAATCACGTGGCAATGGATTTTCAAACTTAAATTCAAGTCTACAAGCATTATTGATCGTTATAAGGCCCCTCTTGTTTATTTAAGATTTAGCCAAATTTCGGACCTTGATATCAATGAAATTTTTTTACTCATCATTTGCATTCACTCAATACACCTCATCTTGGCACTTGCCTCTCAAAAAAATCTTCACATCCACCAAATGGTTGTTAAAACTGATTTTTTTCATGGCATCCTCCGTGAGGAAAGCTATATGCAAGTTCCAGAAGGCATCATTCCCCCTCGACCTGGCATGAGGTACAAATTTCATAAAACTTTGTATGGATTGAAACAATCCCTGAGGGAATGGTACAAAGTCATAGACACTTTTCTTATTTCTCTCGGTTTTATCAACTCCATGGCGGATGGAAATGTGTATTATCTTCACAAGATCTCTGCTTTTGCCATTCTCACTCTGTATGTGGATGACACCTTAATTGCATGCAACAACCTCCCTCTTTTACAACACATCAAAACTCAACTCCATGGGTGCTTCTTTCTTTCCAATCTTAGAAAAGCTCATCATTTACTCAGCCTTCAAATTACGTGGGATATCAATGAAGGTTGTATCCGAATTAGTCAAACGTTATACTTGCAACAAAAACTTGTAGAGTTTGGTTTTCAAAATGCTCCTCCCGTCTCGACTCCTCGCGTGCCAGGTCTTTCTATTTCCGCTGCGGACTGTCAAGCGACATCTTCGCCTCTAACTCTGATGATCCCTCTCGATGCCCTGCTACCCAAGTAAAAGGACATGTTCTCCTCTCTCAGCGCCCTATTGTTCTCTCCCGACGCCATTCTGGTCCATCCCGGCACCCTACAAGCATCTCCAATAGTTCTGCACTCTCCTACCATTGCGGCTTTGTTGTCAGCGCTTCCAACAGCCATGCTACTCACCTTCGCCGCCCAGCCGCCCGATGCTCCTGCCGTCTGTCAGTCCCTGTTTTTCGCAGCTCTGCGGCCCGCCAATTTTGCCGCTCTCAGCTCCGCTGCTCCCAATTTGAGGCTTCCAACGTTGGGTCTATTACACCCCAGGATTATAGTGCCGTGACTTCTCCTTTAGGGTCTGCCACTCACAAAGGCTACCATGTCGCGGCTCCTTCTCTTTGTTCTGCCACACATCTAAGTCCAAGCGATTGCCACATCATCTCCGACAGCAACCTCTCGTTTCCATATGCTAACGCTGTTGGCTTCCTCAATTGGGCCAGTTTGTGTACTCGGCCCGATTTGTCCTTCACAATTAGCCTCCTATCTCAGTATAGACATAATCCAGGACCGGCCCACATTACAGCCTGCAAGTACACGTTTCGTTGCATTTGAGGAACACTCAACTACTACATTGAATATCGACAAAACCCTACTCCACGCCCCTTGTTTGGATTCAGTGATACAGATTGGGCCGGGGAAGTAGATCAACGCAAATCTACCTCGAGCTATTGCTATATCTTGTCAAATGGCATAGTTAGCTGGGGATCTTCACGACAAAAATCCACTGCTTTATCCAGCACGGAGGCAAAATATTTGGTTATGGCCGGCGCTGCCTTCGAGGTAGTGTGGCTTCAACACCTTCTTCATGATTTATATCAAGACCTTACCGCTCCGTCAATAATTCTATGTGACAACCAATCGGCATTGGCATTTGTTGACACTACCAAGTTTCACAATCGCACAAAGCACATAGACGTCAAATATGATTTCATTCAACAACTATCTATACTCAAGAAACTCTCATTCCAGTACTGTTTCATTGCCACAATGCGAGCTGATCTTCTCACCAAGGCACTCTCGGGGCCAAAAATTATTCAACACTTACCATACTTAGGAATTGTTGGAAACTAACCAAGATTGTCTACGCATAACGACTTAGCAGGTGTATTGGAATGTGCAGAAACAGTTATAGTCGTCATTTGTTGACTGTAATAGAACTAGTTTGCACCGCATCATATCTCCCCGCGAAGGCACCAGTAAGGTCGCCCTCCTCACAGTATTATAATTTGTAAAACACAGATATTATTGATAATAAGAGCATTGTAAATTAAGTCTTCATATTTCTCATGGTTTGAACATGGAACGGAGATTTCTTGTGTCGTAATGTAATAAGAAATCCTTGAGCGATTGGGGGGAACTCATTCTCAGTATCATATTTCATTCTTTCCACCGTGAATACCAGAACAATTCTTTCTTCCAGAATAGTTGTTCTAGTCTTCAGACTACTGATTGAAACCAATTGTCGCATATGATATCTCCCCGCGTGTGGCCTTTGATTAAAATACACTATGCTTGTATTGAAAAGCAATACACTATTAAAGACTCTGCTCTTCATTTCATGTGTGAACGACAAATGTGAAGGTTCTGCACAATGCTATTGGGAATGATGATAAGATTGTATTCTGTTTAAGTGTGATCTTCATGATGAGAAAAGATTTTTTGAGATTACCTGTAAGGCAGACCGATGATTGTTAACATGACAGAACGGGATTAGTTCCTATTTGATGAGTTGAAATCAGCGTATTAAATAAATCTTACTTTTTTGTGCAGACCTTGGAGTGGTATGCGAACGATATGAGTAACGATAAGCATTAAATTGTGCGAGCTTTGTACTGGACTATGACCAAAGGTTTAGAATCCTGTAATATTTTCCATCCAAAATCTAAACGAAATACGCGAGATCTTTCTTGTGCTTAATAGATATCCTCGCCCGGATTGTTTTCCTGGGAGTCTCACCACAAAAATGGGCTCGTTCTCAAGGTAGCTATCCATGCTGTCCTTTTTGCTCCTGCAGTATTGAATGCAGTCATCACATTGATGGGGCTTTGGTCTTCATGTTATCACTAATAATACTAGTTGCATTTCTGGAGTTTCAGAGCCTTTTCAATTCTGAGGATTCAATAACTGGAAGTTTATTTGAATAAATATTCCACGAAGTGCATTGTGGTGTTTTAGCTCAGTTCTTATTTGAAAGATCTCATTCTCCTTACAGAACTGAGAAATCTCCCACGTTTTTCTTCATACTTCTGTGACCTTGTTTATTCAAAAGCACTTCAACCTGTGATCCTTTATTTTCTAAAGAATAATAACCATTTCATTGTGCAGATCTCTTTGTTTGGTGAAACAATAACAGCTGAAGAGCTTTTGTACAGCCAAGTGAATAGCAGCTCTCATCGACATCAAATGTACTAATCCAGACATCCGATGCAAACGACCTTAAGCCGTTCTTTCACTCTGTTCAAATTAAGCAAAGGCAACGACAACAGTAGATGGTCTCCTTTGCTCCATGCAGCGGAGAGACTCTTGCAAGTACGCTTTCAATGTGACCAACTTCGGCGGCTACAAAAATTAAATAAATAAAAATTGCATGGGGTCCTTCCAGAGGACAGATGATGCAATGCTGGCCATAAGCTCGAAGTAGCGAGGAGGATGCCAACCATTGCACATTTTACCGAACTTGATTACAAACACAAAACGCAGCTCAAGTTTCAGATGGGAGGTTTTAATGGTATCTCGCCCTCTCATCCGGCAAACATGATAACACTGGGTTTTCTCTTTCCGTGGTACAAATGCTGGCCTCCCAGGATCGGGCATTTTGCAAAGCTCATTTGAGACAGCCTGTACAATACAACACAACAGTTTTCACACTGGAAAATTTTTCTCACTAATCGGCTAACTTAAACCCCTTCTCCAAAACTAGGTCACACAGTCGTTCAAAAGCCAAAACTTACACTCACACTTTTCACATCATGAAACATCAACAAAGGTCATTCAGCAACCCCCAAGGCTCAAGTGCTTACAAACCACGTTTACGAATGCCGTAAGTCTTTCGACACCGCCCATCCTCCATAGAAAAGCTGATGCGATGCTGGCCATGAGCTGGGCGACAAGAGAAGGGATCGATGCCAGTATTAGAGGTCCAAGCTGGATCGAGGTACATGGGTACCGCTTTCCCGTGAACAGAAGAATTTCGGCAGTGGATGAACGTTGCAACAGAGGAAAGGACACAGTCGAAAACGAGGCAGTGGACCCATGGGATCTTGAGAGCTCAGTCTAAGTGGGCTACAGCCATCTGGGCATTCAAGGCGTCTACAGTTTCCAGAGTCCATGAAAAAGTCACACCTTTGCTGACGAACACTTCATAACTTATCCAAAAAAACCAGCGAACGAACCTGAAAACCAGATTTCGGAATGGAATCAGTATGCTTGAATGGTGACCTTGCTTGGCTTCAGTTCAATGCTGAGTTCAGATTCTCCTTTAATTATTTCTCAGATTCTGTGTACGTTCAAAATTATATGTACACATCCAGTGAGAAAGAATGATATGATCTGTTTAGCTTCAGATTACGGATACGAAGCACTGCAGTAAAGTGGAGTTGAGAAGGGTGTTACGTTTTTACATAATAAAGTTTGTTTTTACTTTTTCTTAAGGATTTTGTTTGATGTTTTGACGGCAATAATTGATTTGAGTAGAATCAAACATGATGACTTTGTTGAACTACACCTATTGTTTGAATTTTTTTGAATTGAATATAGGACTCATGGGTATTGGTTTATATTTTTTGAAAGCTATAGTATTACAAAGTGTTATGTGTGTTTTCAATAGTTTAATATAAGAACTTATCAATATAATCATTGTGCAATTTGAATCAAAATTTATTTTTCATTATTTTATTACATCTTAATTTAAAAAATAATGAGATTTGTTATTATTATTGTTTCTTGTTATAATAAAAATTTATTATCTAAGATTTATATTAATATAAAACATAATTTTAATTGGACTAAATAATTTGATACTTATATATTATTTATTTCTAGTCTAAGTCTCAAGATTTGAGTATTTTGTTTTGTAACCAAATCACACTTTACATTAAACCATGTCTTCCATTGGTTACCTAATAATTACTTGTGAGATGGTGATGATAAGATTAAAAACATCTTTTATTTTAATTGGTTGTGCTCCTTTTTAATAAAAATTCAAGAAATTCTTATGTAATATTTTTAATCCCACATGCACAAGTATGTTGAAGTTACTAAAAGTCAAGTTCCAACATTAATCCTGATATTCCCAAAAACCCTATGACATATAGAAGTAGAAAAGAATAAATCTTATTTCTACTATACTATTCTTTGTAAAATTCTAGAGATGTCTCTATTTAATAGCTACAAAAAAAGTTCTTAAATAAACTATATATTTTTTATATAATTTATGTGATAGTATTATTAAATATTAATAAAAATTCTATCTTATTATTATTATTATTATTATTATTATCATTATTATTTTATTTTTATAAAAGTCTTTATTTTAACATGAAAACAAATATATTACATATATATATATATATATATATATATACATACATATAAAAGGTAACAGTAATTTTAATTTGATATGATTAGGATTTTAACTAAATTTAAAATTAGTAAGATTTTAACATTTAATACCAATATCTAAATTAAACATGCAATATATGTTGAGAATATATTTTAAACTAACATATATATTTAATTCAATTATATGTATATACAGACAAATACATACATACATACAGATAAATTATTTGAAACATATGCATCTATCTTAAATTGAAGTTGCAATCAATTGATATAACTTCTAAAAACATCCCTAATGTTTTCCTATTAAATAGACATGCCCTTCGGCTTTTGATTTTATATATAAATCCTCAAACTTACTCCATAAATAAATATCACAAACTAAAATTCATTTATAGATTGGAATCTGGAGCACATAATGCTGCCCTTGAATTATTGCTTGTTTGCTACAAGAGCAATGGAGGGATTTGATATAAGGACAAAATACCTCTCTTGAAAAATAGCACTAATTTTCCATACATAGCTAAGTGTTCAAAAGGCTTTACATGTTAATTGATGGCTTCTACAACCTAAAGATTGTTGGTTTAAACTCAACCAACAATAGTGGTGCAAGGGATAATACTTATATACTCATACATTTATTTATGTTTTTATATATTCTTATATACTTCTATACTTATTCTACACATATCATCCTTCCCAATGCCCAGTCTTCAGTCTGAGAATCCATTCATCCTTGGGGGTGCTGAGTCTCAGAACTGAGCCGAATCTTGGGATACCGGGCGCAGGCCCCACCGTTCCGCACGGTACAGAATCGGGAGACACAATCACTCACCAAGTGGCATGTCCAGTCTAATGCCCACCTAATCTTTTGGAAGCAAGAACAAGGATTGGAAGACAGAATTTGGCCTGGCTCCTCCCAGCGATGCCTTAATTTGATGTCCACGAGCCTGCATATGGCGGGCCTCGTACCTATTTTACAGTGCGCCATATTTGTGGTTACAAGAACAAGTGGCCACGCCATATTCGTGGTTCGGGCCTTTTGAAGTGGCCCGGTGCAGATGAAGCCTAAAAGGGACGATCTCTGGACGAATAGATTTCGTCTAACTACTTTCTATTCGTCCGTCGGTTTTGTCTGGCGCCACTGACCAGTCTCGTCTAGACCGCAGCTTACTTTCAAAGCTTGGTCTGCACTGCACCACACGTGCTCAGCGCCAGCCTTGGCACATTTGGACTGATGCCGGTAACTGGGTAGCTCCGACTCTTGTTCATCCGGCGAGATTTCTACCGCTAGTTAAAGCGACCGCGTGGAAGGTGCGACTAGGGTTTCTGGATCGCGGAACATTCATTGTTGCGATATTGCTGCTCGACGTTCGCCGGCTGTTATTGGACGGAATCGACGAAGATTGAAGAGCTGGAAATAGAGTATCGCAGGTCAAATACATGTTAACTCGTACTCCTCGTTATCTCTTTGGAATGCATTGCTGGGAGTGCCTTGCTGAGTAGCTCGTTGACTCATTCCGGGGTAGTCATGGGGAGACCTTCCATCCGAATAAGTGGGCTTTTACCATATAAGTTATGCTCCCCTAGCGCGTAGTAGCGAGAATTTTCCTTCTCCGAAATGTGGCCTGTTCTTTGGAGACCTGGTTATGGTGGGAGGTTTGACTGTGTTTCGGTTATTCAGCTCGTGGAACAACCATGCAGGCTTGCGGACGTTGATCTAGGCGTACCGAGTTTTCATGTTGATATTGATAGGTTCGTATCAATGCGATCGATCTTTCTTGCGAACTCACTTAGCTCTTTTGTTCCGCAGACCTGCTTGGGGTTGCGATTGAGGTGTCGTCGACTTCTGGATCGGTTGCTTGTCGGTAAGAGTTGCTGGGAGGTTTCGAAGTGATGAACGCGTGAATGTCTGAGTGATTGTGTCCTTTGGTGATTCTAGATTGCGGAATTGGTTGCACGTACTCACCTCCTCGACGACCTGCTTAGTAACCACGCGAGTCTGGCTCTTTTCCCTCGCAGTTCTGCTAGCATACTTCTTCTCTGATCTTTGCTGTTCACAGTTGCGGTGTTGTCTTTGCTGCTGCTTCGCTTATTCAATTACGCAGCGTGATGCACGAGAATTTCTTGGGTGGTTCCCGGTCTTCTTCTCTGCTTCTTGTCTTTGTACCTTCTGGAAATACCTTGGTCTGAGAACTACTGCTTGTGTTAATTTGCAATCAGATGCTTCTTGTGACAAATTTGATACTTGAGCTCCTTTGAATTTTGTAGTTAGTGTTGTGTATCGCACTAACATGTTGGAGTCTACAGGGTGCTGGTGGTAATTTTTGTTGCTGGTAAAAAGTCTGCTGGCGTGTTCCGAAGACAGACGCGATGGGGAATGTCAGCGGACGTCAGAGCAAAAACCGTGGGCAGCAGGGGGGCATGAGTCAGGAAGGGTCTGCGGATACGCGATTCAAGAGTGAGAGCGAAAGGCCAAGGGCAGAAGGTAGTAATCAGCGCTCGAGCGCCACCTCCAGCAGCCGTGGCGCAAGCACCCATCCCAATCAGGGAGGTAGCGCTCGACCAGCGAGCACTGGTAGCGCACACACTGGGAGTGCCCATAACGCGAGCACTCATCACAATCAGGGTGGGAGCACTCGTCCAGCAAGCACGGGGAGCACACACACTGGCAGTAGCCACAACGCTAGCACTCATTCCAATCAGGGTGGGAGCACTCGTCCAGCGAGCACGGGTAGCTCACACGGTGAGAGCGGCCATAGTGCAAGACCTAGCAGCGGCACTGCTCCTGCTGAGCGCCCACGCGTACCCATGGCGGCGCCAAGACCGCGATCGGTGTCGAATGTGGGTGTCTTGGGGAAACCGCTGGTCGACATTCGCCAAACTTATTCGCTGGGCAAGGAACTTGGCCGAGGCCAATTCGGGGTGACCTATCTGTGCACCCACAAGGAGACGGGTGAAAAGCTCGCGTGCAAGAGCATAGCGAAGCGGAAGTTGATTGCCAAGGAGGATATTGAGGATGTGAAGCGGGAGGTTCAGATTATGCACCATTTGTCAGGAACCCCCAACATCGTAGACTTGAAGGGAGTGTATGAGGACAGGCATTCTGTCCATCTGGTTATGGAGCTTTGTGCAGGTGGGGAGCTTTTCGATCGCATCATCGCCAAAGGGCATTACAGCGAGCGAGCCGCCGCCGATTTGTGCAGGGTCATCGTGAATGTGGTGCACAGATGCCACTCGTTGGGTGTGTTCCACCGAGACCTGAAGCCCGAGAATTTCCTGTTTGCCAGCAAGGACGAGGATGCACCTCTGCAAGCCACAGACTTCGGTTTGTCGACTTTCTTCAAGCTCGGAGAAGTGTTCCGTGACATTGTGGGAAGTGCGTATTATGTCGCTCCAGAGGTTTTAAAGCGCAATTACGGTCCCGAAGCCGATGTGTGGAGCGCTGGGGTGATTGTATACATTCTTTTGTGCGGAGTGCCACCGTTTTGGGCAGAATCGGAGCAAGGGATTTTTGACGCTGTTCTGAAAGGGCACATCGATTTCGAGAGTGAGCCATGGCCGAGAATCTCGAGCGGGGCTGTGGACTTGGTCAGAAATATGCTGAACCCAAATGTGAAGGAGCGCTTGACTGCATATCAGGTGTTGAACCATCCATGGATGCAGGAAGGCGGTGACGCTTCCGACGAGCCCTTGGACAATGCGGTACTGGATAGACTGAAGAACTTCTCAGCCGCCAACAAGATGAAGAAGCTGGCACTGAAGGTGATCGCCAACAGTCTGTCTGAAGAAGAAATTGTAGGGCTGCGGGAGCTGTTCAAGTCCATGGATACCGACAACAGCGGGATGGTAACATTCGAGGAGCTCAAGCAAGGGCTAATCCGACAAGGCACTGGGCTGAAAGAGGCGGACATCCGCAAGCTGATGGAAGCAGCCGACGTAGACGGAAACGGCAAGATCGACTTCCACGAGTTCATATCAGCGACGATGCACATGAACAAGACAGAAAAAGAGGACCACCTGTGGGCAGCATTTAAACACTTCGACACGGATAACAGCGGGTACATCACTCACGAAGAGCTGCAGGAAGCATTGGAAAATAGTGGCATGGGAGACCCACAGGCAATTCAGGAAATCATCAGGGAGGTGGACACAGACAACGATGGGAAAATAGACTACGACGAGTTTGTAGCCATGATGCGGAAAGGCAACCCTGACACAGAAGACGGCGTGATGGTCGTCCCTCCCAGGCACAGGTAGCTGAGACCTCCACACTCACAGTGTAATCTTCACCCTCCAAAGCACCATCAGCAGCAGCAGCAGCAGCTTTGAGTTGTGTGCCATAGCTCTCTGCTCCTTTCTCTGTCAATCTGTAAACCAAACAGGAGACCCTGATAAGACCCTGGCATTCTCATATATATTGTTCAGTTCCGACGCGGTTCTTAGGCAGCTTGCTTCACGATTATGTAACCAATACTGTAGAAAAATTTGCTATGAGGCTGCTGGTGCTGCTGCATGAGTTGAAGGTGGCGTGCAACCCATCAAAAAACGTGTGCACAAGTATTATAGAGCATTAAAGTGGAATATATCGACAGATCTGAGCTCTGCCTTGCTGGTTCCCTACACCCAGAGATTTTCGTTTACCGTTCCGGATGATGTGTGGTGGAAACAGTTTTCTCAAGAGCGGATTAATCTTTCCTGTTGCCATGGAATTAGGATTACTGTTACTGTTGATTAGTGCTGACTGAGTGGTGTAGTCCGCAGCAGGTCGTAATGGAGGGGATCTTGTCGTCGTTGTTGATGATTAACCTCCAAGCTTGCCATGGTTCTCTTTTTAAATGCATTTTGATAATATTAAGTGCTGTTGAATCTTTTGCCGGAGATGTTGTAAGAGATCATTTAAATTTCATACAGATAAACTGATATTTATTAAAGAAGTCGGTTATCAAACAGTCACTCAATTACTTGTAATTATTTTTGAATGTATTCTTTTTGATGGGTTATATCGCTGTTAGTTCAAATTATAAATTTGGAATCAAGAAATGAGATTAAGAGATTTTCACTTTTAATCACGGAGGTTTTGAGAAGTTGAAGTGGTGATTATAATATTTTTCACTACTATGCAAATCAATGTTGAATACTCAATATAATTACAGCAGTTTATTTTTGGAATTAGTCTGTGTATTTAATAGTGACTATTGTGAATTTCAGATTGGTTTTATGAGATACCCAAGAATATAATGTGGATTTTCAAGAAGAATTTAATTTTTCAGTTTATTGAGCATTGTGATATAGTCTTTTATTTTAAACTTTTATATATATATTTATAAATTTACTATGGGTTTATCAAATGAATCCTAACAATGTAATTACATTTAGAAACATCTTTACTTTTACCAATTGAATGCAAAATTCATTTGTTAAATGTGTCTATTTGAAAGTAGTAATTTTTATAAGCTTTATTCAAACATTAATGCAATTAGATTTAAAGTTCAAATCCTTTGCAATTTTATCTATATTGTAGGAAGTTATTAAAGCCACACTCCACAATACCATCTCATGATTGATTCTATCCATCCTTGTCTTTGTCTTGTGTTCCATGTCCCCCATCTTCCATTTCCAACCTCCATGCTTTGTTCCCTATTCTCCAAAATTAATCATCACATGGTTTAGGGGGTGTGGTTTTAACAACTCTTATATTTTATTATGTTTGTATTAATATAGTATTTATATGTATATATATGGTTTATTTTTAAAAATAAGTAGATTTTTAAATTTTTATTATTTGTTATTATAAATCTAAAATATTATAGTACAAATATTATCAACAACTAACTAAAACTAGATTTTATTATTATTATTATTATTAGTAGTATTATTTTTTGCAAAACAATTTAGACAAGCATTGTTGGCAACTTAGTTGTATCAATGAATAAGGATTGCAATAGCTAGAATTGTATTAGTAGCCAAGATATGTAGCAAAATGTATTTTTGAAAACTATAATTAAAATTTAATAAATTTAGTTCTACTTATATTAAATATAATATTAATTAATACTTAAAATATCTTCTAAAAACTTTAAATGCTTCTAATAATGGTTTTCATGTAGATATTCTAGCTACTTTATATATTAACTATAAAATATTTATAATGAACTGAAATTTATAAAAAAAAAAATCAACAAACAAATTATTACTATGAAACATCAAATCTATGCTTTTTAATACTAATTTGTGAATAAAATATATATATTTTAAATTTGAATGGATTTTTTTAAAAAAATATTTTAAATTTGTAAATGTGTTTATTTAATTAAATCATTTAAGAGCTTTTAAGACATTTTAAAGATTATTTGTACACTCAAAAGTAAATAAATAATTAAATAAAAATACTTTAAAAGAGTTGTAGTTAGGGAATTTGGGTTGTAATAAAACACTTTGTATTTGTAGACATTGGAATTCCACCCAACTTGTGATCTCTTCACAATGTAAACTGCAAGAGGAAAATGGCAAGGAAGTCGCCCTGCTGATCTCTCAAGTTACATCCTATTCCTCTCACATTTCAGCAAATTCCTTCTTCGTTATCTATCTTAGAATTATTTCTCAATCTTCTGAAGTGATGCACGAGTTCAAGGACCAGGTCTGCACCAGTACTACAAATGAAACCTAAACTGATCCGTCTACGGCACCACAAGCGAATCCTTCCAGTAAATCACCTGGCACAACTATCAATCTTCACACCCATTGCTGTTGCCATCGCCGACGACCAAATCCCGTAAACTCTTAGAATTTGTAGGATCACGCCACAGACTCCTCAACTATGTTTAATCCCTGATAATCCGGCACAGCTTCTTGCACAACTCACTTTTCAACCCAACCAGCTCTGCACCGGCACTTATGTCACTAATGCTGACAAATTGTTTTGCACATAACTGCGAAGGTAAAGTTCCGTCTCCTCTTCTTCTTCACATCCGTCAACAAAACTTCACCCCCAGCAATTTGTCAATTGTCCTCTCGTTCACCCATTCGAGTTCGTTCTCATTTGTTACATCTCGACGGCATCCACCAACTTAGCATCCACTTCAGCTCCTCTCTTTGCGATACTCCCACTGGTCCTCCTTCCAATATCACTTGCTGTCCTCGTGACCATCGCAAAATTTTCCTTTGCGGCTTTCTTAAACTTCCTAACGCTCCTCCTCGGCTCGCTTCACCATTCAGATTCGCTTTGATCCACAGTTGCACAAGAGCCTGCAACATACATTGCACCATGTCTTCCCCATCGCCTCTACATCAAGCAATAGTCATCTTCCACACTCGGTTATCTTGGTTTCTCCACACAAATGTGATCAGAGGCAATCCTGTCTAAGTTGCCCATTTTGCAAACTTCTGTAGTTCTTTCCGAAGCCCTTTCTTCTAGCTTGCATATTTGTTGAAGGTCTGCAAAGTTCTCAAACTAGGAGAAGTGAGTTGTCAATAGAGACAGCGTGACAGCAACCCAGAGATGATTGCACGCCAAGTAGTCGGATTGTGTAACACAAGTGAATTTTACTCATTGTATGACACTAAACAATCCGATTAGTTGATACACCTCGTTGTTGACTGACAATGCATCACTTCTGGTACTGTCTATCCTCTTGACTATGGTTTGGATCTCCTTTCTTTAAATCACTCCCTTTCTTGTTCCTTCGCTACCTTATTACCTATTCCCCTAATTTTGCTCTTGTTCCGATCTGGGATCCTTCTATAGCTTTTCCCTCATAAGTCTATACTATGCCAGCAACTTATCGTTCCCTGTATATGCCCATCCTATATGTGCCCATCAGCATCTAAAGCCCTCGCCAAATTCAACCCAACCAATGACCTCCTAATTATCTGACTCTCGCAAAATGCTATGGCTTAATGCTTTCTTTTAATGGAATCTAGTGTTGGATGTATTCTCAATCAGCCAATATCCTTATTAAAAATTAAGTCCCCTCTCCTTTGCTTTTGATCCCATAAAAGATGAGTCCTTTTGTTGCTTTAGCAAAGATCAATACTCTTGCTATTGACTGTTATAAGCTAAGTCCCCTCTTCCTTGTTGTTGATCTCCAAAAAATAAGTTCTCTCTTGCTACTACAAAACTCAAGATTCCTACTATTAACCTTCAAAAAATTCACCACCAATATGCAATGGTCATATCCATCAAAATAGAGTCCTTGTTGCATAGCAAGCCGAATGCCAAGGTTACAATAATCCTCTTCCCATGACAAACTTCTCATTCTGTTGGTGAAGGTCAACACCCTTGTTATCAATTCTCAAAAAAAATGCTAATATGCAATGATCCTCTCCATAAAGAGAAATTAATCCTTGTGTTGTAAGCAAAATGCCAATGCTTTGATGATCATCCTTACTTAAATAAGCTCCTTGTAAGCATTGCAAGCAAATGTTTCAACATTGTAATAATAATCTTTTTTACCTAGACTAATTCTTTATTGTCTTGTAAGTGGATAATCTAGCATTGTTACCTAGATAGAATCCTTGGTGCATCACAAGTGCATGATCTAGCATCACTACAATGATTTAATATTGTCACTAGAATGCTATTACAGGCCAACATTGGAAGTTGTCACTTCTTCACAAAATAATTTTGTAATTTTTTCATTAGCATTGTCAAACTAGGCTTGTAAGGTATTGTGTAGGTTTGAGGAGCTTGATGAGGGAAATTGTGAAAACTTCAAGGAGGTCATTGATTTCCAAACATGGTACAAACATATATCTAAGCAAAGGCACAAAAATATTTGTGTCATATATATAAATTGTTGCTAATTTCACCACAATATTTTCTACTTCTACCACATTTCCATCTACTCTATGCTACCATAATTTATGTTAATACGACCACAATCTACCACCTATTCAATATATTACTTTAGTTTTTTTAAAATACTTATTAAAATAATTAATTTTATTATCAAATTTCTATTTGTATAAAATAAATTCTTTTTTAAGCTACTTATTATCTTAGTTAAATATTATAATTATGCATTAATAAAGAATCTAATATATAAAAAATCCACATCTTTATATTTTATCAACAAAAAATATTAATTAAGTTAAATTATTTAATTTTAATATATTATATATTAAAATATATTTTTTAATTTTAATTTTAATTTTAATTTTGAAAAAATTATAATTAAAACTATAAAAATAAAAAATGGTAAAAAATAGTTTAAAAAATAAAACTTAAAGTGTTTTAAAATTTTATTATTTGCAATAAAAATATCTCTGCATGCAATGTTTTATAAAAATATCATACATTAAACACTAAAAAAATTTCTCACATTTAAAAAATCTAATTTAAATGAACCTTCTAGAATATTCAAAAACTTGCTCAAACTTTCTATAATTTTCTTTGTTACATTTTATAATCTCTCAGAACATTTCATAAAAAGATTTATGAAAACTAAAACTAAACTATAAAAAAAACACAAGTCTAAATTGCATTCATGTCAATTTACTAATCAATTCAACTATTTCAAAGCTTCTAGCCTCTAAAATAACTTTTATTGTCAGTATATCTTCTTAATTTTACACTTACATGTTATTTCACAAAAACTACACTTCCTTAATAAGATTTTTAGAGATAGAAATGAACTTAAATAAAAATATATATATTATTTAAACAATATCAATCAGAAAAATAAACTAAAAAAGATTCAACTTATTTTTATGCCGAGATGGAAACGCGACTAGGAAAACCAAGCAAAACTGGACCCTAAATCTTTTCCATATGATGATTCAGCCAACAGACAACCTCATCTCACAGTGTTTGTGTATCAATCCCAGTCTGAGTTTTCTCCTTACATGGAACTATAACAATAATTAAGCTGTAGAATACCATAATCAAGCGTCATCAATCAATCAGGGCATGAGAATGAGAAGCTTTGATTGGTAA